AACACCAAAGCTGAACCAATATTTTTGAAGAAGATTGTAAAAATCTCACTCTGCTTGTCTCCAATTTCTGCCACCTCAGTCTCTCACCAAGAGAAATGGAGTCTAATTTCTCATCTTCAAATCTGAAAGCAGTCCTAGAAACACAACCCTCCAGCAGCATTGCTGCTCCACTGACCTTGTGAATCCACCTCAGAAACTAGCTGCTATTTTTACCTCATTCCCATCCTTCACTAACAGACCTGCAGATTTTGCAGCTGCCAATCCAAATCCAGTGGAGTCTTTGGCTCTTGGTGTATTTGCTGTGCTAGTGCCATATAAACTTATTAAAAACAATAATTAAATAGAAAAAAAGGTGTAATAATACATTTTGGAGTTAAACATCTACGCAAAATTATGTGTATGTCAATAGCTTATAAATAGGTACAAAACATTTGTTGTTGTAAGGTACAACTTATTTACATATTGGTGGAGGTGCATGTGAATATTTGAGCCTATGCATATGTAAACAGGAGAAAAATGGCATCATTGCAGCCTGACAATAGACAAGTTCAAATGAATGAATAAAAGTCTAAAATAAATCTGTCCCTGTATGCTGACCATTTGATCATCATCATCATAATCATCATCATCATCTCAGAGTAACTTTGCGGGAAAATCTATTTCCTCTGGCATCATAGAAATGAAAATAAATTTATTTTCCTAAGTAACTCTGTCTATCATGGAATAATATATCATAGATCTGGTACCTAGGATTGATCAATGTTTAGTCTAGCAATTAGTTCAACAACTATGCATTCTGGGTATATTATGGGTGGACAACATAAGGAGTATCTTGGGGTTGTTGTTATACAAGAATACTTTGGAATGATGACAAACATTTTACACTGAAAGAAATTTAAATTCACTTAATAATGCCCTCTTATTTGGAATGGAAAAATGTGACCTTAGTGATACAAAACTTTTATATTGTTAAATTTCATACTATTTACGGTAAATATCATATTCACACATCCAAATAACTACATAATCTTACCAAGATGTTGTACTTGTGTTCAGGAGAATAACTAGTGATAAGAGATAAACATGATGAGTATATAGTAAAGAAAACAACATTCATCAGTTCCTGAGAGGCCACAGAGAGCCGAATGCGAGCCTGATTAGGGAAGTGTTGTGTGATCTCAGGGGGAAAGTTCTTCCGTTTTGTTCTCTGTGAGTTACAGCCCTTCGTCCTTCTCTTCAGGCACCTCATTATGAAATACAGTAGGGACGCCATCAGACTTTTTCTTGTCACTCTGTGGTATTCACCTGGACGGTTAGGGGAAAAATCGAAAGACGTTCCTCTAGATATTAACATTCATGGGTTGCTCATTTCCAATAATTTAAGCTTCCTGATTACTGCAGACACCCGTGTATAATGCTGCAATAAAATAGCAAGTAAAATTAGGTAATGAAAAAAACTATAAAAATCCCAATATTAATCTACAACATATATTAAAATGAATAGGCTGTAAGAGGTAAATCCAAAAACATTTTTCACATTTTTAAATAATATTACCAACATAAAGTTGTTTCTCTTGGTAAATAAAGCTAGATAAAACTTAAAAAGACTGTTTTAAATATTGTAAAAGTTGTATTGTTCAGCTTCCTCCAGAACTGCATAACAGACAGCAAAACTAAAACCATATTTATTTCCAATCCATCTGGTAATTTCATCAAATAATAATAAAACTTGAGCCAGTTTGCCAGTACAGAACATGTACTCATGTTCTACCCTTTATTCACCCTGAAAAAGGTGAATATAAAAGGTGAATCAATCACCTTTTTCAGGGGATTGCAAAAGTTGTTTATTTAGACCATAAGGTTAAAAACCAAGTAAACTGAATGCTAATATAGTCTGATACAGGATTTGTTAAAAACAAAATAAAAGAACCAAGGTAAAAGTACTTACTTTTTTTCTCCATCCTACATCATCCATTACAATCATGTCTGTGAGCCATCCAATCTGATTGAAATTGTGTAAATTTCTCCCAAACCTGTCGCCAAGGTTAGCAAAAGAGTGTAATAGCCCTTTGATTAGTAATATGTGTGCTGTTGCTGGCATATATCCAAAACATGCAAAACAATACTTCCCAGTCAGCAGGAAATGATCTCCAAATTTAACAGAGAAAACAGTAAAACAAGGTTAGAGAGACGTTTGAAAAAAGGAGTAAATACTGAACATTAGCATTCATCAGTTACTCTTTTCTAATAATGATATATTGATATACTGGTGGAATAAGCTAAGTGCTGCAAACATCTGAAATACCCTTTATGTAAAAGGAGACTTAAAGAAACTCCACTGTTAACATTGTAGTTGCTCAACACGTTGTGACATATTCCACAACCCCTGTCTTCAGGAGAAGTCAATTTAAATGATCTTTAGATTACAGGTCACATATATGTTGATAAGAAAAGAAGCAAAATCCAGGAACGTTGAAGCTGGACACTTCAAGTGTCATCACATCATCACACCTCCCAGTGCAGTGGGAGGTGTGATGATGGTTTGCAGTCAGAAGGCAAGTCACTAATTAACACTCCAGTTCCAGCTCTTCCTAATGTGAAAGGGCAAATGGACAACAGTAATGTATGCTCAGTATCCAGGTGGGCTATCCATCTCCATTTAAGCAAGACACACCTACGAGGAAAATCTACAGATGTAAAAAGAAAATGTAATCATTTCCGCTCACAGTACGTTGTGCTTATCCTGCAATGATTTGTAATAATTGCATGCAATCAAATCAGCAGCTGGCAGCCAGTTTTTAAGCATGCAGAATGTTTGCATTGCATGCAAACACTCTACTCAAAGCTGAATCCTGGCTATTACTGTTTTGTGTCCTGAACCAATCTTGGAAGAAACTAATGTGCCCTGATTTGCATGCATTTCCCTGAAGGAGGAGATAGTATGTGTTAGCTTCAGTGTGGATGGAGTCTCTGCTGTTTCATTCAAATTTCCAGGCGCCGCGGGGATCACCATGTCGGTGTAAACCCGATCGAGGTCCCAGTGTAAGCTCTGGGATGAATAATTCACCTCGTTCAGCACAGTGTGCAACTGCAAGTGGCAGGCTCATGATGAAACAGACTGCTGGGTTACTCCTGATGTTTCAATCTGGGTTGTCACTTATGATTTTCTTGCTGAACCATCTTTTTCCACCTCTTGAAAGGCAGCACCTTCATCACTCAGGAAACTGTGATTTCAGTGACTGTACAGTGCCATCTGTTGATCGAAGCTTACACACTGGACATAAATGTTTTATCTGCTTGTCAAAGTCACTCTTCATAGCCAAGATTTCCTGTTATTGTATATATTCACAACAAGATCAAGTGACCACAAAATAGTTTCATTATATCAAAATTTAAATAACCCTCTTAAATCTACTTAAGTAATCACTTTAGCAGCTTTTGAGTTGAAGAACAAGGTTGTACAAAACTTCAGGTGTATTATTTTGTTCAATATATAACTAAATGGTAGTATTTACGTAAACTAAATAAATTTAAACAGCAAATTAGTTGTAAAAGACATATTAATTAATTTGAATATATTAAGTCTAGCCCTGAAGAGCAGTAGCTCAAGTAGCCTTGCAACTTTTAGATGCAACACATCTGAATCAAATAAATAGATCGTTTGTAAGCCTCTACAAATCTGAATAAAGTACCAATGAGAGAATTTGTCCATTAGGCGAGTTGGAGAAGATTTGCACCTTCAGAAAAAGCTGGAGGATTTCTCTCAGGAACTTGTTTTGGGCTCTCTTGATGTACACTAACTTCGGTTCTCTGATTAGCTGAATGCGGTTATTATCAAAACAAAACCAAATAATTTCAAAAATGTGCTTTGTTTTATTGACTGCCATGGTGGTTTAGTTAAATTCAAAATTTGAGTAATATGTTTTGCCTTTTATTGAACATAGTTTAATTTTTTTCATGAAAATGTAAAAAGATTAGTGATGCGATGGTTAAATTTAATGAAACATACTTCACCCAAGTCCAATAATTTTTAATGTCTCAATAAACTGCTTGAGCTGTTCCCACTGAAAATCAAAAATGCTGAATAAGCCTCATTGTTTTTTTCCCTCATTTTAGCAGGTTGTGTGGATCTGTGTCTGTGGGATGATTTTGAGTTTGATACCCGTCACCATCTCATATTTTTTGATTGTCAAACTTAGGTTTTTATAAAAACCTACGTTCAAGGTTAACATCATTGCCTCCCCTCTGTTCCTCAACCTTTCTTTTCTTTTTTTTTTTTTTTACACATTTTCTGGTTGATTAAATCTTCATTTGCCGTTAACTTAGTTGGACTCAATTCTGGGTTTGTACCTTTTTGATGACTCACAGCAGCTATTAATACGTCTACTGGAACTCAAACTACAATTGGGAAACTAAGAAGTTGCTTATAATTCTTGAGTTAATTATCCAATATGCAGCGACTACAGAATGCTGTGAAAGTGGCTAATATAAAGCATTCAATATTTATTAGCACTTTTAATTGTTGTGGCAAAATAAACTATGAAGAAAATCTGCTGTAAAAAAGTGGAAGCAGTTGGAAAGAACTTCAACTCAGTCACAAAGTGAGGTGAGTGGACCTTGAGGAATAAGTCTGGTTGTTATGTTGGACCTCCGTTTCTCCAGACTGAGGCTCGGCTCCTGGGTTTCAGTGAAAGAAACTCCCACTGCTGCAGGATACCAGTCCATTTTGAAAAATTCCCAAACTTTGTGGGGGAGGTTTGATTATGATCATGAACTCGGCCAAGGCAAGGTCCATCCAGACACAAATAAGCAGGTTCTGGTTTTGAAGAACCTGACTGGCCCAGACAGAGTCCTAACCTGAACCCAACAGAACACCTCAGAGTGGAGACTGTGAACCAGGCCTTTTTCATCCACCAGTCTTTCCTGGACAAAATAATAATGAAAATAACAAATAATAATAAAAAAAAGGTTGTGGAAAGTGTAAATCAAACTTGAATGTGTGCAAACAAGACTAAGGACTTTATTAACCAAATCATTTTCCCCATAATATCCACAAATAAAAGTGTTCTCTTTATATATATTCACATTGTATAATTTCTCAGAGTGACAAAATTATCTTTTTTTTTTGTTTGTTTTTTTTTTTTTTTTTTGGATTTCCAGCCATTCCTAGTAATTGTCATTTGATCAGTCGCCATGCAAGTTGTCAGGGAGTCTGAAAAACATTTCGATTGGTCAGCATTGGCGGTCCTGTCTGGCATCACGCTTCCTCCTCCGCTATGGGCTCTTCGCTGTGTTAAAATCTTCATTGTTACCCAATCACATATTTCATTACACTTCAACAATGAAAAATAAAAATAAATTAAGAAAGCAACATTCTCCTGCAGAGTGCTTCAGAGTCCTCTTCCGTTTCCCTTTCATATTTTTTAGATATTTTCTGTTTTTATACAATATTAATAATATTATTAATGACTATAACTGTCCTTGATATAAATTCAATATTTTTTTTTTTTAATCTTTCTCAAATTTTAAATAAATCATTTTGGCCATCCTCTTATTTTGTCACTTTAGAATAAAAGAATACTCAAGTAGAAAATAAGAACTGTGAGAGAAAACCTTTCTGAAGAGGAGCAGGTTGTGAGAGAAAGAAACGTGTGAAAGCATCAGTGAAGAGCAAGAGAGGACAGAAAGAAAAGAGTCAAAGAAAGAAAGACAGACTCAAAGAAAAGCATCCACTTTAGACGCATGTCAGAAACAGCTCTATGTACAACAGTTTCTGTTGTGGTAATCTGTCCTTCCTGTGCCGGTCGTCTGTCTTTTGTTCTTCCTCTCAGATTGTGTCTGCAGCAGTCCTGTTTGTCTGAAGCAGTCCTGTGTGTCCCAGTGTTATACCAGAGTGTAAGACTTGGCATAAGGGTTGTTGCTCTGTTTCAGGTGTCCTCTGGAATCCAGCAGTGACTCCTGTGAGGTGCTGAGCTTGGCAGCCTGTGCTTGGGCTAAATCTCCTGAGGGGGGCGCCTCTCCTCGGACCTCGCCCCGGGCCTCCCCCCTCTCCCGGACATCCCTGTGTGGAAGGGTAGAGGCAGTTCCTGGCTGCCACTGTTGCACCTCCCTGGGAGAGGGCACTTCCATGGGTGTGGGCTCCATCGGAGGAGGCCTCTTTAGGGTACGACTCCTCTGGGGTTCAAGGCAGGCCTGACCCATGGCTCCTCCGCCTCCTCTTGATTCCCCGGCAGCACCAACACCACCTCCGCTCGGTCCAGCAGCTCCTGCACCGCCTCCCCCGCTGCTACTGCTGCCACTACTGCTGCTGACCCCCCCTCCTCGGGCTGGCAGAGGCACGCCACGGTTCAACAGGAAGTCCATACGGAGGTAGGGCGGTAAGTGGACCAACTCTCCTCCTGGGAGGCAACACACAGAGAAGCAGGAAGCAGCATTAGAAATAATTACTGTGATGTTTGGGAAAACTGAAAACACAATAAAGTAACAACACATTAACATTAATGTCAATCAATTAATCAATTGATTGTAATTTATTGATTATAATTTTTGAGATTCTGGTAAATAAGTTAGTCAGGAGGCTGATGCTAAAGGCAAAAAAAAAAAAACTGGCAAAACACTATTTTATAAACTTCTGTAATGTTGCTAATTTACATAGTGTTGTTATTTGAAGTTGAAACACATAGATTGGACATGGTGATGAGATCAATCAATGATCTTCCTGTCTGAAACATTTACTGAAACATAAATGAAACAGAAATGGTCTGAGTAACAGATTCATAGAAAAGTACGGCAGGATCAAATGTATAGAATAGCATTCACCTAAACCTACACAGTCCTTTGGCCTAACTAAAGGCTGGTACTGAGATACCACCGGTTTATTGGTGCCTGACTGGAAGAGCCCCTATCTACTTTGAGCAAGTTTGGATGCTTCACATGGACACAATTAATCTTATTCCTTGTTTTCAGTTTAAAATGTCAACACTTGTTTTAGACAAATTCAGCTGTGACACTTCCTGTCGCTCTGGTTGTTATGACAGAATAACATGAAAGATCTAATGGAAATGTTATATTTTCTGTAATTATCAGAAACTGATGTAGCCATGAAAGTTAATGTTTTGAATTAGAATGGGGGTCAGGAAGTGAGCTTTTTTTCTGATATACTTCAATTTGTACAACTTAGAAACTTCATAGGGTTCATTTTAACCCTTCTTTCTTGTGACATGCTGGATGCACTGTTGTAAAAACCTCGACTAACACCTCAGCCATAATTAGCTGGGTCAAACTTAAAACGTGTGTTAAATCAAGATAAGATTTTATCTTTAAAAGATCTTATCAGATACATTAAAGGAAAAGAGGAGTAGACTTTCCTTTTCTTAAATGCATTGCCTTCTGTATGTAATTCAGCACAAATATAATTTCAGATGTCCAGATCACTTGATGCTCTCTGCAGCAGCTCAGACAGAATCGACATTTTACCATTTCACAGATGCAGAGATTGGCACATAATTAGAGAGACACCATTCACTTCTAAAGTTGCTCTTAACGCATTATCTCTCCCACACATGAAGACCCTCACACACACAACCCACACATGTACGAAAATAAGGTACGTGTGCTATATGTGCACAGTCACAGCTCCTGCCAGAATCTCTGCACTAATGCAAGCTCAGACAAGGTCGCCTCTGCACATTTAGTCAGTGTGTGACCTCAGGGGGTGGATTCCAGGGTTCATAGGAAGAATGAATAAATTACTCTGGTTATGGATAAGCCCCATTAGTGCCGGCAAGCATGATGAATGGCTTGAAGCGTTAATTGAATTAAATATAGATTCATGTGTTTCCCAGGGAGCTCATTCGAAATGAAGTTTGAAAATTAATCAGTTCGTAAACTGTGAATGGTACAGCAATGAGACGCCAAATGCATCATCGAAACACCATTTAGTACCTGAAGGATATTTACAGGCAATATCCTGTGTTGTATAACACATCTGTGTGTCATACAACACGTTTACAGGGCTACCTAAAGGTGACACGTTCCTCTGTTGTGCCACAGAGGGAATTAAAACTGAACATAGAAACTGACTGTGCATCTCATAGATTTGAGCCATTTTGACTCAAGCTTCAGTTGTATTCCTGTATTTATAAAATTTGGCATCAGCTTAGCTCACTCAGTAAAGTCATAAAGATGATAGTAAAGCTGAAGGTAACTTCCTATTTCACTGCCGTGCATCCAAATACTGTTGGATTTTATCAGTTTAACATAATTTCTAGTTAATCATTTTAATATATTATTATTGAGATGGATAGTCCAAGGCTAATACCTCACATTTAATTTCATTTAACTGCATAGTCATTCCTATTTTTCATTTGGCTCTAGTTCAAATCGGAGCAAGTAGACTTTCGAAATGTGAGACTATATGACCCCTTACTGCACAAATTTAACATGAAGCCAGTATGGGTGTCCAAACCTTTGCCAAAAGTACTCTTGGGCCACAAAAATGTGATTTTTAGTTCCATTTTTTATCATCAGAAATAGCTTTGGGGTTAAGAAATTAAGAGAGGTGGAGCAAAGAATTAAAGGGAAAGAGGAAGATAAAAATAGAGAGGAAGGAGGAAAGAGAGAAAACAAGAAAACACTCAAGAAGTGTTTTTACACCTGCTGTACACATAATACTTAAAGTGTCTTGTATGTAGCTTTACACAATTATTCAGCTTACATTGACCTAACCAAAATGATTTTTTTTCTTGTAATATGTGATTCATTAACAGCACAAAAATGTAACAGCCAATTAAGATCCTAAATCTGTGCATTGTTTTCTTAGTGTAAGTGAGACCACAGTGTCCGCAGTCTTCACTCTGATCTGACAAGCAAAGAGCCTGTGGTTATCATGATCAGTCTCCCCTTTATCAGCAAAGTGCTGTTTTGTACTCAGTTACAATACTTTGAGATCAGGTTGACAGATAGCCTTTAGCTGCCCTCTCTTTGCCAGACATGCCTGCTGTCCTGTGCCCAGTACTTCATGATATAATGAGACCTGAAACTTAAGAAGGAGATCTGATGTCTTCGGCTGCTGTCTGATGGGGAACCTCCGGCACATTTGCAGACCCAAAGTTCTTCTTTTGCTCCTCGTAAGAGGAGACCTCCAGCACCGCTAATTATCAGTGGTCCCAGACAGACTATCACATGAGAGCAGGACTGGTGATGGACGAGCTGTCCACATGTGTCAGAGAGCACAGTGTTTTTCGGTTTGGGCTGTTTGTGCATGGCGTGTGGTCAGCTGCCTCCGTGGGGCTGCCGGATCAAGTAACTGATGGGTTTACAGAGAAGCTAAGGTTCATACAAGGTAAGCGAGCAACCATGCTGCATATTCACAGTTTGAAATGGCTTTTGAAACAAAGCTTTTAATGTGTAGTTATAAAAAAATGGAATAATTCCTGGGAAAAAAATCCCTAACAATAAAACATGCCAGGAGGGCATTAGGAAATCTCGTGTAGTAATTATGATATCATGAAGTCTGATGGGCTTTATTTGTCTTTTAAGATGGAAAGCTACAGATAAACAAGGCAACTGAAGGCACAGATAGCTCTTCTGATATATACTGAGTGATGGTTAATGAAACTACCTGATTTTCCAGCAGAAGTCTAAAGACTAATGAGACACAAACAGAATGCAAAGCTAAACCAAGTGCAATTAAAAGAGGAGCTGGCCAAAAGTTAATTAAGGAGCCTTCACAGACAGGTTATTAACAAGCTAATAAAATGTGTTTCAACCTATTGTCTTCCTTTAAAAGTAAGGAGGATTACTATGCAAAAGATGTATAACATAAAAGAATAATGGCCTCTTCAAACTGTTCATACAAAATATCCTTATAAATGGTTAAATATGTTGTTTTATTGTCTTCAGAAATATGTTCAGCTATAGCTACAGCTATGTTGGAATAAGTCTCTAAGGTGCTGAACACTTTTGATCTACGCCGCTGATTCTCAGTTGGACTTTAACTGGGCCATTCTAACAAACGCTGTAACTCTGTTGTTGTCTAAGCTCCACTTCCTCACCTGGTCTGTGCGCCTTGGGCACGGCCATGTTCATGACCCTGCTAACATCCTGAGGTTTGGGCGGGGAAGCGGTGAAGCGGCAGATGCCCGACTCCGATGGTGTGCTGGAGGTCAGGCTGTCGGTGTAGTCGTTGGTCCCTGCTGTCATCTGCTCGGACGATGTGTCAGAGATGAAGCACTCTGTGATGGTGAACTTTGCATGACGGAGCTGCTCCTCCATCTTGGCGTGCTCATAGGCTCTGGCCAGCTCTTCGTAGGTGGAAGATGCACTCTCTGTTGAGACCATGCTGCTCCGTGCGCGATCTGATAATAAGGAGGAGTGCATTTCAATACACTTGTCGTGTTGGATTGGATTTCTTTAGAATTAAAGGTAAATTTAGATTTATTGTTCTGCTGATATTGTGTTTTTCAAGGGAGTTTTGATTTGTTTTGACCAGTGCTGCAAAACATACTGGGGAAAGTAAAGATAAATGGAATGGGTTTATGATGGATTCAAAAGGTAATATTATTAGGCAGGAATGGGCTACACAGTCTAAGGTTTAAAGAAAATGAAGAACCAAGCCAACATTTTTGGATTAAGAACATGAACAAACAAGAGCTATCTTCCCTACTAATGCTTTTTGCAATCTCACAAAGCAATACAACTTCTGACATATTCAGAAATTGTATTCCAGCTTTAAAAACAGACTGGGTTCATATTGTTTGTGTGTCTTTTGTAGTATTCCTCTCCATCTTTTCCGGCTCTACCTGTGTCCTGTGAGGGGCTGACGCTGTAGCTGTCACTCTCTTTGTCCACAGATCCAGTGGCGCGCGGTGTGGGGAGTCTCCAGTCAGTGGTCAGGGTGTGTGAGGAGCTGGTGGGATGCGGCCGGTTCAGAGTCCACTGGCTGGCGTAGCGGCTCCGTGCTGCAGCAGGTCCAGCTTTGGCAGTGCGTCTGGCAGTGGGGTCTAGCAGTGATTAGGGGGGTAAAGGTCAGTTGTGTTGCTCAGCTTAGCAGCTGTCAGGTGCAAATCATCATACATCAACGCTTCAGGAATAAACAATCAATCACTAGATATGCAAAAGTTCAGGACAAATTTAAATAAGACAGAAACAATAAAGTGCTTTGCCCTGGACATTTTAGTGATGGAGCTAGATGTGCAACCCAACTATACAAATACTTTTAAATACACATTATAAAACTAAATGTGAGTCAAAATTTAGGTCATAATTTTACTTTAATGTTGTTGCTTTTGAATCAAAATCCTTGCAACTCCGTTTAAATCCTTTAAAATGGAGATCTGTGTTAACTCGCATCCTTGTTTGGATTAATTTAGTGAAAAAGTATCTATCAAATATTTTTAATCAGGCAAGACAATTTCTTAATTTCTTATTTCCCCTGATTCAAAAGGAGCACACCAACTTTTCTTAACCTAGGTACTATAAACCTTTGTTGAACTTTTGACAGTAGTGACCAACTAGTTAATATTATCCAAAACTTTAATTGGTCAATCTGCTTTGACAAAGAAAACAACTTGTTTGGACTTGATTTTACTGTTTCTGTAACAGAATAACCTTTACTGTTTCCTGATTATATTTGTGCAGTTGATTTGGCTACAGGTCTACCACAGTTTTTAAGTTTTCATGTTTTCAAGAAGCTGTTTATGAAGATTGTAACTTGGTCTGTTGGAACTTCTTCACATTCACTTACAGGATATTTATGAAACACTGGTAATGTGCAATATTTAGCATATTTAGGCAGCAGGATGTGTTAGCTTCTGTTCTGATACAGTTCATCTTTCTTGTTTGCTTTCTCTGCCCTCAACAAATATTTTTTTCACCACTGTCAAACTCCAGAAACCTAAAACCTTTGTCTCATTCAGCTTGACCCTAGCATGCTGCAGGTGTCTCATCCACTACCGGAGTGGATGATAATAAAACCATTTAGAAAAGGTCTGAGGCCAGATCCATGCAGAGAGAAGAATAAAGCTGGTAACAGTAGTCAGCAGAGATGGAGGGATGAAATGACAGAATGAAAGAAGAAAAGCTCTGAGTCAGCAATGAGTTCACTCTGGTCAGGTCATGTGACTCATTGCTTGTGTGCTAAAGGCCACGGTTTAGACTAGACTGGGTGCCAGTGTTTGTATGTCTATTTACAATAATTAAACATCGTTCTGTCTCCTGTCTTCACATTTGTTTATTTGTAGGTGAACTGGCAGATCAGCTGTGAAAAATGATAGAAGAATAAGAAAGAACTAAATGTTTCAATCAGCTTGCAGAACTAGTTGTTTACCTAAATCTGCACCTAATGCTGTTTTAAACAGAGTGCTTTGTGGGCATCAATGGGAAAATTTCTTTCAAAAGAGAGAAATGAAGATCGCTACTCTTCATCAGTTTGGCTTCAGAAGAGCTTAAACACCAGAAACAACTTTGTCGTTGTAAGACAACTCCCTTACAGGGCCATTTTAAATAAAACAGGTGGAGCGGCTTAATGCTTTACATATATTTCAGATGAAAGTGCAATAAAGGTTTATCACCTTTGTGTATTTTGTGTAGCTGAGCCAAGTTACTCCAGCACTAAAGTCTGCAAAAGTGCATTTACACACTTTGGGATTTTGTCACAAACTGTGACAAAATAAATGTGAATAAATGTGTTTTATTCAGATTTTTGTTGCAGACCAACTCCAAATAGTGCAACGCTGTGAAGTGGAAAAAAAGAGAAAGTTTTCAAAATCTTTTATAAAGAAGAAGCAAAAAGGTTGGACAACATGTAAAAGATTGGTAGAAGCACCTTTCTCTATTTTTTAAGTTCATTTTGCCTATTAGTCTTCAATCAATTTTTAGGTTGTGGTTATAACATGAAAGACTGTATGCTAGATTCACAGCTTCAAATCAAGAACATAGAACACAATACCACATCATGAGCACAACAGTTTTGTTATTGTCATTAACACATAACCACACATTGTTAGTAGTAAAGGAAATAAATGTTGAGCACTGACGGTGGTGGGACTCACTGGTTCCAGGCCTGGCATCGGATACATCCACCAGGGGCCCAGTGGCCTGAGACAGAGACTGGTAGTGGACTGTGTGGGTCACCGTGGAAGACTTCTGCTTATTGGTCTCCCCAAAGTCATTGTCTGTCAGCAGCACAGTGGACCTGTCGTCTAACAGAGAGGAAGCAGGGTTTAGGAAACTGTGAGAGTGGAGCACATGGTGAGTGAGAAAACTGGGCTCCACCCCAAGCATTTTACCAATAGTTTCCATTGTGTCCCGCTCTTCAATGAGGAGCTGTGCTCTGGGGATGTCAATGTGCATTCTCAGTGTCTGCTGCTGCTTGTTCACCGTGTCTGGCGTCCGTGTGTTTTTACTGTGAAGGGGAAAAAAAAACGCCAGGTCATCTCCTTAGCTATTGTGACTCTTGTGTTGGAGAAACGCAAACTCAGTTCCACTTAAGCTGACAAGAAGTTGAATGAAGGTGAAAGGACAGCACCAACAATATATTTGAGTTTTACTGAACGGGGCTGTAAGTCTGGCTTGCCGAGTGATTTATGTTCTGTCTGAAAGCAAATGAGCGTGCACAAATCAAAATTAGGAATACATACCTCATCAGCATTTCTGCCAGGCTTTTGGCATCTGTGAAGTCAGCAAAGAGGTGGTTAATACCATATACAGCCCCGTCGGAGTTGTGAAGGTACAGAACTGGGAATACTTTACAAGCATTGATGATTCCTCTTACTGAAATGTACTTCAGATCTATTAGAGTCTTGCACAACACACACACACTCAAACTTTCTTAATACAAACTTACTTTAGCATCTTTCTTGCCTTTATTGCAGTTGTTTTCTGGATGCATTATTTGGTAACACTTTATTTGAAGGGGTGTGCATAAGACTGACATTACACTATCATAAACACAACATAACATCTGCTATGAACACAAAGGAGTCTTCATGAATGTTTATGACTGTTGACATAAAGTGTCATTTGGTAAACAATGACGCTTTTAATGCAAAGTCATAATAAAAGTTGCATTAAAAGTGTCAACTTTATATTGAGTGTCATTATTTACCTAATGACAGTCATGACCCTTCATGAAGACGCTTTCATGTTCATAAATGGAGTTATTTTATCTTTATGACTATGTTATGTAAGCCTCAAGCATGCACCTTCAAAAAGGTATTATCTATCATTTTGTGCATCTCTGACTTTGTCTGCAGTTCATATTCATGAGGGTTCAGACACAGTCTATATTTTCCCAGAATAAAATGCAAAAGAATAAAAAAAAACAACATTATTGGGTTTTACTATGTGTACCAAACAGATTAGCTGATCTGGAGATGTGGCAAAGAACACTACTTTGTGAATTGAATCATCTCTTGAACAGTTAGATTTTTTAAATTTGAATGAAGTATCAAACATTAAACATAAATTAGAGCACAATTTGGATTTTTGATACCTGTAATCTATTTAAGGCGTAAAACAATGCAGTAAATTGCAGCAGATGATACACTTGTCCAGGTTTTTATTGGTAAATTATTGGTAAAGATTTACCTCTGAGTCTTTTGAGCCTTTGCTCCCTCCGTCTCCTCTTTAGCACCATTAGCATTATGAAAACAAGCACAGCCACAACTAGAACTGAGGTGATGGTCACCACCATCTTCAGCCCTCCGCTGCCTGACATGTTGTCTGAGATGGGATCTCCTGTCTTCAGCAGAGGAGGGATGGTACCTTGGCAGAAATGAAAACTGTTAGATATTTCCTGTGTAATTCAAACACCAGCCTCATCATGACCTTAAAACCTGTGGAGGAAAAGAAGAATAAGTTTTATGTATCACAGTAAAGAATCATAAGGATCAAATACTCCAGAGAAATATAGTTTGATAAGTAATTTTCCATTTGCACAATTTTTATGTGCACGTTAAAAACTAATTATTCCTGGATATTGAAATGTTATGTCTTTTATTACACTGCAGATACTATTGAATTTTCCTCCTGTCCATTATACAGTAGAGTGTGCAGTGGCTCAGTTCCTCCCTTAAGATGTAGGATTTGCAAGATTATTAGGTAAATGTGCACAGAGACTCTAGTCTCTAGTTTTTTAATTTTTTTTATTTCCGCACTTTATCTAACAGGGAATTATCTAAGTGCTGCACTTATGAATTTTTCCGAACACCCACATTTGGTCACAATCTTCCACAGACCTTCTCAATTAATTGGGTCAAGTGCTTTGGTTAGATCTGATGTTATATGGAAATCAATGTTTGACACTTTATTCCTGACATTTTTTCTGAAGCTTTATGGCAGTTCCCAGATTTTATTTGAACCTTGTTTTATTTTCACAAGTGGCTTAATTTTTAGTCATCACGGGTTGAAAACCTTCCTCCAAGGTTTTGGTTCATTCTGCCATGATGACATTATGCAATTGCTGCAGATTGTACTCTGCTTGAATGAAATCTGATGACTGCGGAAGGGACTGGAGCAACATTGAATTTACTGGGATATTCAAGAAACTGGTTTGAGAAAACTTCAACCTTGTGGCATGAGCATTATTTGATGGGAGGTAGACATCAGAAGATAGGAACAACATAATCTTTGTATAAACTGTGCTCACTTCACAGTCACTCAAATACATTTCCACCATTCTGACGCTCAGTTCAACTTTAGCAAGTTGTCTTCAACGTGTGGAAATCCCTAAATGCTTTGACTTGACAACAAGCTTAGTAGGTGTTCCTAATAAAGTGACTAGTAAATGTGTGTCTTTCTGGTTAAAATAGAAAAGACTTAAGACACAATATTTGTAGGAGAATGCCGAGTTTATGTTGCCTGAGAAGCAGAGCTATCGATTCGCTGTCAAAGTGACAACAGCACCCTCATATATGCCTTAGCCTGGAGGCACAAACATGCACTCATGACAAACTAACAGACAGCATACACAGTTCTGCAAAAACACAGAAACAAGAGGAGAGTCTTGAGTGCACCTCGGGGGCGTCACCAGCTCCCTTCTTTTCTGACAGGTTATATGGTTTTTTTTTTGCTGAGTTAACACAAAATGCAGTCCTGAAAGGCATATAAAGCAACCCAATGGCCTGCAGAGAGTCTGATGGCCACCCGAGTTTTCTTTCTGCACTTCCAAGGCTGGATGCAGGCAGAACTGCAGAGAAGTTTGCAATATAAAAACTCTGAGCCTAATATTGATCTATAAATCTACAGGATTAAACACAGCCTGTAGATTTATCTTGGCTGGTCAGTTTCATAGACACTTTCCTAGTTTCAGACTACTAGTGCCTCGCATTAAGCTTTATGTTTAATAACACATTGAGAATGGTTTTCCCTAACAATGCCATACTGTATCAGGAACTCCTTTGCTACTCATCTACCACTGTTTTCAATAACTTTGTGTCAGCATTTACCAAAATGTGGTTTCCAAAAAAAAAAACTTCTCATCTCATCTTCTCAAATGAGTATTGTCTCCTCCAATTGGTCTAGTGTTGACACTTTTTTACTTTCCCACATCCCTGTTCTACATCATCATCGTTATGTATATCTATTCCTGACCTTTTCTAACCACTAGTTGCACAATCAAATTTTATGAATAACACTGAGTGTTGTACAACAAAACAGTTTCTTTGTTAATTGTTGTTCACCGGCTCAGAGGAGAAGGAAACACAATCACAAACTTTCCTCCTAACTTACTTCCATCGGCATTTAGAGTAGCGAAGGTGACCCGTTTCTCCGCTGAGCCGGCGCTGTTGGTGACCTTCATCTGCAGCTCATACCATGTCGCCTCCTGCAGGTCGTACAGGATGTAACTCTTGGTGAGCGAGGTGCGCTGGGCTGTTGTCCATGTGGCTGAATCCACCGCGCGGTATTCCAGAATGAAGGAGGTGATTGGACAGCCGCCATTGTTCCAGCCAGCCAGGTTGAGCCTGGCCCGGGAGGAGTTGATGCTGGTGAAGATTTCATGTTCTTTGGCAAATTGTGGTTCTGAGGAATTATCAGAGAGCAGAAACTGCTTTAAATCTCTCAAGTTTCTGACAAAATATTGATTTAACTAATGTTTAATTGGAATATAATCAAAAGTGTTTTAAATCTGAGATAATGGATGCAAAAGACTAAATGTTCTCTAATCTGCAAGTTTTACCCTTGAAGATCATAAATGATTATTATGGCAATTTGTTTAATTTGAAACTTTAACACTGAGGAAAAACTACAACTGCACTATTCACCTTTCCCGTGGGTTTTTGCTTCAATGATCTCGCTGATGCGTCCTGGGCCCACGGCGTTCTGCGCTGTCAGGGTGAATTTGTACCATGTGCCACACTTCAGGTTCTCCAGACGATATGACCGCTCACTGGGGCTGATGGGAAAACTGCCCCATTGTTCACTGTTGTCCTCTGAGTACTGCAGAATGTAACCTGGAAAAATGGAAGGGGAGAAAAAGGAAGAAAGTTGAAACCAATATTTAGTTCAGAATAAATAATATTTTCTATTACTAATTTGAATGTGAAAGAGTTTTATTGTGTTTGCAAAAATATGCAGGAAACACTGAGATTAAACATTAAACTTTGGTACAATATGTGGTAACTGACTTTATTTCAAGTGAATTACAGTAAATTCTATAAGGAAGTAATATACTTGCTTGTATGGACTTTCAATGTCCTCACATATAGACCAAGATATTTGTAGATTATATCCAAACAGCCATAACTTGATCTCCTATGTTCAGCAGGGATTTGTATAGTAAGTTCTGGTGAGTGTATTCTGGTGATGGGTGATATTAAGTGGAGAAAAGCAAAGCAAATATAACAGAGAAAGCATCTTGACCAGCTGCTCTGGTGACTACAACACAAAAGAAAGGAGCAGTTTTGTTAGGAGCAATGATAAATCACCACAAATAGTCTTGTTGTGATTGCGCTGTAAGATGGACCGCTTTAATCTTCCTCTAAAAAGAACCTAATCTCTTCTCCTGCTTTTTAATCTAGCTTTTAGGACTTAACTGTTGTGCTGTAGCAGCAAATAATGAGACCCATTCATGGAACAACAGAGTTAAACCAAAGTGCAAGAGGAAGGGACAAAGGCTATCTCAAAACACAGAAGGGAGATGATTGTTTTCACATTTGTATGAAGCTCCTTATTCATGGCTGCGTTCGTCACTTTCAGTGGTCACAAACTTTCCGTTTCGCTTCACTGGTTGTAGATGATTATGAATGAGTTTGTTCAAGAGTAGCAACCTCACCTCTGATAGAGCTCCCGCCGTTGTCTCCAGGTATCCATGACAATGTGATTGATGTGGTGGTAGTCTTGGTAACTGTGAGACGTGGCTGGTCCGGGGGTACTGTGGATGACAGGTCAGTATATTGATTATTGTTTGGGTTATCATTCTTTTTTTGACTGACTTATTGCATGTCAGACCGACTTTTTCATTTGGGCTGCATGTTTGTTCAATAAATAATAGCATGGTGCAGTCAGAAGTTTGTGGTTTCCAACAACTCATGTTATATTTTTTAATATGTTTAAAGCCTGGAACCGACAGAACACGAACGCTCTTTTATCCTGACTGCAGAGATTATAATAATGATCTTGTTCTTTTTTTTTTTAAATGACAAGCAGCCTTATGAGGACAGAAAGCAGAGGTTTTATGGATGGGATAACTTTCAGCAATATCAAATCAACACCAAAACAGCACAAAATGATACAATATCTGCATAAGTCGTTTCCAAATGGGAAGCGGTATTAAATTAATCACCAGGAATCCTAAAATCTTTTTATTGTTTTAACTGCTACCTTTCTAACATGCTGTAGCAAACACCAGAAACAATTAAATTAAGTTTAAACTGACGAGTGCGACTGCTCAACATATTTTTGTAAGGATCTCTCCTCATGATGAAAAACTTTGTTGACTTAGATATTTTTATAGAATTACAGAATTTACTTTACAACCGAATATTGTGCAATATCTGAAAAATATTAATCACAACTGCAATCTTTATATCACCATTATTATAAGACATTGTGTAAATCCAGCTAATTATAAAATTGGATCTTTAGATTGTTTTGTCAATGGAAATGTTAATCTTAATCATTTAATTTTTACCAAGGTATGTTTATTTATTGTTTATTCCATGATGCAGGACTTTGTGTTTTTGTGTTTATGATGTAAAGCACTTTGAAATGCCTTGCTGCTGAAATGTGCTATACAAATAAAATTTGATTGATTGATTGATTGATTGATTGATTGATTGATTGATTGATTGATTGATTGATTGATTGATTGATTGATTGATTGATTGATTGATTGATAACCACTTGCCTTGGACCTGCAGGTTCAGTGTGATCTCATCTGACCCCCAGTTGTTACTGGCCACACAGCTGTAGTTCCCAGAGTCCTCTGCTTTCACTGTGCGGATAATGAAGCTCCCATTCCCCTGGACGCTACGGCGACCATCCACGATAACAGGTGTAGGTGTCCCATTTGTGCTGGAAATAAATAGGAAAATTCAACACTCCGGGAATAGCTCTGACTCTGGCTGTAATGAGACACATGAAGGCTCCTGCCTTACTTTCCCTTAAGCCACTTGATGGTGGGAGGAGGGTCCCCAACAGCTTTGCAAGGTAAAACAATGTCCTTCATCCAGGGAGTGGTGACTGTGCCATTAAACGTCAAGATCCTAGCTGGAGCTGAGAACAACACAAGCAAAAACGTACTCACAAAAATCCCTCAAATCAAATACAGTCAGTCAGTTGGTCTTTATCCGACATTTATTATCAGTGAAACCCGTGGAGGATCAAGTACCTTTGGCCAGAGGCTCTACTGTGATCTTCTCACTGTTGTTGCCATGCCCCGCAGCAGTCACTGCCACCACCCAGACGCTGTACTGTCTGTTTCGAACCAAATTTGGGATCATGTAAAAATATTTATCGGGAGAAGCCTCAAACTCACTCATCACCTGTAAACCCAAGAGAGGATAAAGGATAATGTAAAACAAGGCTGCAGCAATATTTAGCAATTGAGAAATTTGGCATCACTGTCTTGGACAAATCATTTGTATAAAAATGCTAATACCATGGGATGCAGGTTAGAGCAGAAGACGATGTATTTTCTGATGATGCCATTAAGTTTAAGTGGAGGCAGCCAGGAGACAAACACAGCCGAGCTGCTGTTGGCCGCAGCCTTCACTCCTGCTGGTGGACCAGGAACTAGCGAAAAACATTTAATAATTAACTCCCCAACAGTGAACAAATCAAGATAGGTTCCAAAAAATATTCTTTTCCTCTTACCATCCTCTTTGGTGCGAACATAAATCTGTTCACTGCGGACTCCGTCTCCAGCGTTAGTGAAGGCTAAGACCTGGATGCTGTAGTTGGTGTACTTCTCCAACCCATTCAGCTCCAGAGACGGCTGATCGGTTGTCACGTTCCTAATTTCACCCAGTTCTGACACAGACAATGAGATACGTGAAGGTGTGGATCTGTTGCTGCTTCAGGGAATTAGTAACAATTAAAATAAAACAGCTTTAATTGATTTGTTTTACATAAGCCACATAGCTGGTTTATTCCAGGAACAAACTGAACTTATATTGTTGCAAACGTCAAGATGAAGCTGGCATGTAAAGACACTTGTTATTACTGCCTCATCATCTTCCCTCATTACTTTTATGTCCTTTGCCTCAGAAATTAAGCAAATATTGTAACAGACTGGGCAGACAGACAGACAGAAGTGTGATCATTGGTACCTCCATCAGGCAGGTTGGCCCAGTAGATTACTCTGTAGCCCTGCAGGTTCCCATTGAGAGCTTCTCTGGGCAGAGACATCCAGGACAGTGAAATCACCTCTGGAGATTTGGCCACTGCCAAGACATTTTCAGGAGGTCGAGACGGCACTATGAAGGATACAAGAGCAGAGTTTAGGCCTAATAAAGTGTCTGAATGTTATATCAAGTTTTGAAGAGACACTAGCTGGACTCTGATTTTAAAATAAGTTACATAAATAACTACATATTAAAAATACAATTTGAGGAGTTGATGTTATAAGTGTAAAAAACGTTTTACAACGGGCATTTAAGACAAAGAGTTGTTATTGACAATAGTTGGAAAAAAAGCAGATTTAGTCATCTTGGTTCTGAACAATTCATAGAGATCTGTGTGATCTTAGTTATTTGATCCAATGAGGACTCATTAAATAAGTCAATATATCCAAACTGCTGCTTGCATTTGATCAGATGAAGCAAAATTGAAAAAAACAAAAATCACACAGTCAGCATTCATCTTTCTAACCAACAGTTTTCTACTTTATAATACTTTAAAATAAGTCCTTTATTGTTGGTAAACTGCAAGTTTCTACATGATTTAAGACCACATATCTTTTAAGTTTTTATAGTTTTTATTTCAAAAGCTCAGTCTCAATTTATGTTTTACATTTCTGATTTGATCAGTCGTGGCATATATTCTTCACTTGGTTTGATTTCAATGTGGCACACAGGAAGCAATGCTTTATGTAAAACTAATAATATTTGACATGTGAGACAGGAGAGTAACAGATGGAAAACTAAAATTATGAAAGCTGCACTTCTGTTCAAAAAGTATCCAGTAGATGGAGTCCTTACACAACAATCTATGCTGTATAAGCTCAGCATTTAATAGTCATGAATGAGATTTCTATCATTAGGTTTAAAAACAGTGTCTACAGTGTCTTAGAAACATTTTGATTTACTCACACTGTATTAGATTTGTTTTTAGGAGTTTATGTGATAGCTGTATTAGATTTGTATTTGAAAAATAACTAAAACATTTTTGTCCTTTTCTTTCCATGCCCCCCCCAAAAATCAACTTTCTCTTGAGCAAGAACCCAAAATCCTAAAGAAAAGCATCTTTTAGTGGCCGTGTGGCAAAATGTGAAAATGCTTAAAGAGCATGAATATTTTCCCCAAGAATAATACCATTTTAGGACCTCCTCATTCCCAGCTCACCATCCTCCAGGGTCTTGGTTACCACCTGCTGTGAAGACGGTCCTGTTCCAGCTCTGTTTGCAGCCTGGACCACCACACTGTACTGAGTGAACTTCTTCAGGTTGTCCAACACGATGTTCTCTGTGGTGTCTCCTGTCGAATCCACGCTGATAATAGTAAACTGGTGACTCCCACCAGGACTGTACTCCCTGTAGCCCACCTGGTAGCCGCGAATCACACCGTTCTGCAGATGCTTCTGGGGAGGCTGTGGGTGTGGATGACATAAGGTGAGGAAGCACAGACAGGTGAGCATCACATCCATGTTTTTTTAATTAATTAGTTGTTTTCATTGTCAGAAAGTGAAAAATATTTTTAATACACTGACTCTTGCAATAAAAAATATTTAGTATGTTCCTTCATTCTCACATAGACAACATATCCAAATATAACTATTATGAGCCAAACTCTAGCTGACAAAATGAGACATTAATTTATCAGCGTACCTTCCAAGACACTTTGATGCTCTGTGGGGACGTGGGCTCCAGAGTGACATCTTGTGGAGGGCCGTCAGGAGCTGTGAAAGACGTACATTATTTACCATCACCACAACTCTGTTCTGAAAATAGGAAAGACAACAAAAACACAATATCCCCACTAGATGGTGCTCTTGAGCTAAGAATCGCTCCCTTCAAGGTCTCACTCTGTGATAAACATCAAAGCTTTCTCCACAAATCAGTAAAGATTCTTTTTTTATTTCAACATCTTCGATTTACCATCTAAATAATGAGACAAAAAATGATAATACAAGCTCTTTATAACTTCAGTTCAGTTATTAATTAGACCAAATGTGCCATTGCAGCAAGCCATAATGCCCAGGAGGAACCATTATAAGCAATTGAGGATAAGTGAACACTTACAGGACTAACTAAAGGCGGTAGTGAATGAGCATTTTTCTCATTTTTATAGAATTATAGGCTCAACAGCTATGCAGTGATTATTTTTAGTATGGTCGTAATTCCTTGGAAAATTGTCTTACTAAGCATCCATCTAAAAGCTGTCAAAACCAAAACCAATTCTGGCCCAAAACCAAAACTTAAAAAACATGTAATTATACATATCAACTTTCTCCAGTAACAAATAGTTTGATTTACTTTTGTTTGTGTTCAATGTAATAATTAACATAAATACTGTTTTATTTGCAAGATGCAGAACAATTTTCTCCTATTTTAGATGTAATATCTACTTTATCACAGCAGCATCTGTTGAAATGACCACTAACCCACTGATCATTTTTGTAAGTAAATGTCTATTTAAATGTATTTTAATGAATTATGTTGTCACACATGTGACTCCTTTCATGCAACCACATGTTTATGTCTTTTTATCTGCGGGTGTATATCACCAGTTTCTGTGTAATTTAAGGAGTGTTTTCTGCTTTGTTGGATAATGCAGTACTACCATCAAACCTCCCATGACTTAAGTCTCACTCCCAGACTGGTAGTGGAGTCTGTGATGACTTCCTGAGCAAGTTTTAATAAACTCCAGGACGGCATTTTGACTCTAGATCAGGTTTATGATAAATTATACTATTTTCTATCTCCACAGTGTCATAAATAAAATATTTTGATTTTTTATTCTTTTTGCTTGGTGTGTGTGGTTGATCATCTGTGGTTTATAGAAATGTCAGAGTTGGCAGTAATATATGATACCTAGTCAACGCTAACTAACCTGCTTCATCAGTAGTAATGGTGAGTTCATTGCTGGGGTTGCTGTTGCCAATAATGTTCTTGGCAACCATGCGGATGTTGTAGGTGGAGGAAGGGTGGAGGTCTATAATAGTGGCTTGGTTAAGCTGTGGTGACACATCTTTGGTTACCTGGGCTGACAACCAAGAAGCTGGAAGAAACAAAATGGGAAATTGTGAAGATAATGCTAACTTTAGTGTAGTTTTCTTTTTACTTTTCTTCTTTTCTGTTTGTACCTGATTTGTTCTTGCACTCAATATCATATCCTGTGATAGGACTGTTGCCATCAAACCCCATGGTCCAGCGGAGAGCGATGGTTCGATCTTTCACCTCCCGGATCTCCACCTCTGGAGGATCAGGTGGTTCTGAGGAAATTTAAACAAGGCAGTACGCTTAGAGAGAAACAGGAAACTGTAAGCAGATATCTGCAAGCAGACAGGCACAGAAGAAAGACAAATCTAATGGATTAATTTGTTGTAATTTTACCAGTCAGATCATATAAAAAACAGTGTGTGCAGCTTAAACCTTAATAAGAAATAATAAAAGAAATCCTTTCTACAATGAGTCAAAGTTTTATTCCTCATCTCCTAAAAACAACCTTCATGAGCCCAAAGGACTCAAAATCTCACCTTGCACTGTCAGCTGTATGATGCCTCTGTCCTCGCCGAAGGAGTTGATGGCATGACAGGAGAAGAACCCTGAGTCCTCACGAACAGTTGGCATGATCTACAGAAATATGCAGTACACTCTGCTGGACTTTCAAAAAGGTACAGTTCGACTACCACTTCTAGATTTAAACTATTCTAGTCACTGAAACGGGTGAGACTTTTTCCTGCACTTTACTTTTGTACTGGAATGAAGCAAAAATTCTCATTTAAAAGCTAAAAAGGAGAATTTACACTAATATTTTCTAAACAAATGTGTTGAACCAAAATATTACACAGTTGGCTCACACCCGTTTACAAGTTTCTTCTGTTTTTTTTGCTTTTTTTGTCACTCAAAGGTTTCAAATTACTAAACAAGTTAAATTATCAGAGAAAAGCAGAGTAAATGCATGAAACATTTACCAGAAGATGTTTTTTTTATTTATCAAAGCAAAAAACTGCTAAAGTGTATGTGAAAAATTGATTTTACACTTTTTAATATAAAACTAACAGCAAAAAAATTTAAGTCTTCATATTGACAATGTAACATCGTAACAAGGCATTGAACATTTGCCCTAATTGATGACACTATGCTCTATAAAGAAATCTTGAACTATTATTCAAGGCCATCAGTTTGTGACGTTAAACCAAAGCTTATTTTGAGCAGACTTGTTGCTTCAGCCTCAAAAAAAGATATGATTTTGGAGTCCAGATAGGAGTCTGGTTGACATGACGTGGCACAAACGTAAAGAGGCTGTTCATACTTTAAAACACTCTAATTTGGCTTCAATGGACAAAAGAGGACCAAAATGCATCAGCAAAGAGCAAAAACTCTTCACCAGGTATCACATATTGGCAATTGTTTTCAACAACAGTGGTGCAGGCCGTTGCTTGACCTTTTCACATTTTGTCTCTTAAATTATAGAAATTATCATTTGAATTTACAAGTCTTTGTCTGACAAGTCTTTACTGAAAGATTTTAAACCTTTGTGTGTCACAATAAAGCAATATGAAAAGAACTCAATTCAAATACTTTTTCACTGTGCAGAGTTTTTTCAACTCCAACCCAACACTTCTTCTTTTCCTCTTAGAGAAGCATCACTCCCATCACATTCAGTTAGATTCACAGTCACACTGATTGCTCACCACCAGTGTTGAGATGACTTCGTCAGCCACCTCTTTGACAGTAACCACGTATCGGCTGGTCTCGGGGTTGATGATTCGCTCCTCTTTCTCCCAGCGCACCATGATGGGTTTCTCCCCGTGAGCGATGCAGCTCATCCTCTTCTCCTCGCCTTGTGTGGCCAGAGTGGTGTTTGGGTAGGAGGTGATCATGGCTGGTACTGGGGAGCAGAAGGTGATGAGATGAAATCAGAAAGAAGTGGTGAGTAAGATAACTGACTAACTACACAAAATAAAAGAAATGAGACAAGTCTGTGTGAAACGCTTAACATTTACATCTTGCTTTGTGCAGAATAAAAAAAAAAGAAACACGGGTTCACTTTTTCTGAGATAATCGTGACAACCATTAAAACTCTCCAGGGACCATCATGAAGTCATGTTTGAGTCTGCCTGTCTCCCCCAATGCTGAGAGATTGAAAAGGAGCCCTTAAGGTGAACCTGCGACGGCTTTGATAACGACAGCAAACGGTAACATGCTGCTTTTCTGAAGATGAGGCAGAGGGATGGGGAAAAAAGATTCGACTCCTGTGTGAACTCCCATCAGTCTGAGAGTGGAGCCAGTCTGGCTCTACGCCGTAACCACACACCGAGCTCATTAGCAGCAGATCTAGTCAGTGTGTGAGTGTGTGTGTCGATCAGTGACATGAACGTATGCTGTGAACGTTTCACCTTCCTTCAGTCTGAAATCACTAAACACTGAAACACACGTATACGTCTTATTTCATGTTTTTTTTCTTTTTCCTTTTGAAGCTGACTTCTGATCATAACAGACTGTTGGATGTGGCTTTCAGTTTTTAAATTATAAAAAACTGAATTGGATTTGTGTTTTATGTCCTTGTGGAAATTGATGAACATAAAAGATTGACTGTCTTCATCTTGCTATATCTTCTCTTGTCAAATTATAGCCAAAAAATGTGACATCCATCTGTTCACAAAGAATATGTAAAACAATATAGCATTTAAAACACTTGCTCCATTAAGATTCAGCTCCTTGCAGTGAATCATTGAGAGGAATGATTTGTTTCTTTCTTGCATTTCCATGTCAGTTCGCTTTAGAACATTTTGCTGTGTTAATCTCTAAGTGTTTGCTGTATCTCTTCCAGCTTTGCACATCTAAACACTGATTTTATTTATTTATTTATTTTTACAAATTCTGCATTACAAAGAAGCTCAAGCTTGGACAAAGAGCATCTATCAATTGCAATATCTAAGTACTTTGACCAGGTTGTTCTAACTTACAGTAATTATGCTTTGATCTGACTGTGCATTTAGGATAGTTTTCCTATTGGAAGACGAACCTCCATCTCAGTGTCAAGTCTTCTGCCACCACAACACAGGTTTTCTTCCAGGATTATTTTGTATGAGCTCCATCTATCTTCTGTCTAATTGGATTCAGTTTTCCTGTCTCTGCTGAAGACAATGATCCCAGGAGCATGATACTGCCACCACTATGTTTTATGTTGTGAAGGATGCTTTCAGAGTGATGTGCAGTTTTGTTTTTGTTTTGAAAAAAGACCACCTCCCCCCCTGCCCCCCTACAGTTGCTGCATCTCTTTCATGCTTAATGCTAAGCTGCTTACAAATCTTCTTCCTAGTCTTAAATAAAGCTCAGATTAGTTGAGCACATGACTAATAAGGTGCCCAGTCAAAATATTCTCCCACTTGAGCTGCAGATCTCTGCAGTTCCTCCAGAGTTACCATATTAATCTGTTTCTCAGATTAATAAACTACCTGACCAGATAATAAGCCTACCTCTCCTCTAAACTTCTCTACAACATTATTCTTCACTTCTCTGGTGTTTGTCTCCATAATATCCCTGCTTGCTAATGAAGCCTTCACAGAAAAGTTGGATTTGACCTTTTTTAAATATATTACACACAGGTGGAGTTCCTTTATAAGTGGGCGACCTATGAAGGTATCGGTTTCAAAGTTTTATGTACAGATTTCAGAGTATAAATAGATGTCACACTTGAATTTAAAACCATTAATCATTTCCTTTTCACTTCCCAGCTATTCACTTGAAACTGAGTCTAATTATTTTGTCTTGGTCTTCATAAATTAAAATGTTATTCATTTTGTTCCCAAATCATTGGACATTAGCTCAGTAAAACAGTTACACGTTGTTGGTAATGGCACAAATACTTTTTTTTTTTTTTGCTGTTGTGATGTGCAAAAGCTTCTGTACAGAAAATGTATGAAAGTCATTTGGTGTTTGTGCTATGAGAAGTATTTTATATTTTTCTTCATTTTTCAAAAAAAGAAAGTTTCACAGTTACTGGAAATTTGCAGGTTGTTTTTTTTTTTTAATCAAGCGCAATGCAATTTTTAAAACATCATGGAATTCTAAATTAGACTTCAGGTCTTCTAAGTTTAGGAAAAACTGTGTATTCCTTTGTCAAGTTACACCTAATGAAAAATCCTGGCTCATCTAATTTAAAAAAAAAGGATCCAGCCAAACTCATTGTTCACCTTTACGTATATATGTAAAAGATAGTCTGACACATGATTGTTATAACTTGTACATATTGTTATGATATTCATTTTAATGTTTATTTGATGTAGGCAACACTGTGTCACTGAACAGAGCAGTAATGTCAACTACATGTGGCAGATTCTTGTGCAGCACTGGTTAGAGGTCTTTGCTTCCTAGAAAAGATGCAGTTTGTGTGTCTGAGTCAGTGTAAATGTCTGTACACTCCTGAATAACATATCAGTGAGCAGGAGTGTTTCACTATGTGTGCATATGCACAAGCATGCGTGTGTGTGTGCGTGTGTGTGTGTGTGCATGACTGTGTCTGGGGGAGCTAAGTGGGCGAGCAAAGGGAGCAGAAAAGACTTGTGCTCATGACACATCTCAGCCTCGGTACACGATGGAGAAGAGGGAGAGAGCATGTACCCCTGCAGCGTTAACTATGATCCCTCACTCATTCCCTCTATCTCCCTCCTTAGGCTCCCACCAGGACAGCCATGATTTAATGATGAGAGAGACCACTTTGATTATTCGTACACAGCAGACTAGTCCGCTGGCCGTGCCGTTGTCTCTCACAAGCACAAACGCAGACATGCACGCACAGAGACAAGCAGATCCATTCGCATTCAGAAACACACAATGACAAACAAAGACTTCCTGGGCTGTTCTGTGCTGTGCATCTGTATGCAATGATAAAGAAAGAATGCGTGCAAGTAAAATAAAAAAATAAAACAGAAGTAGAGACATGCTCACACTGTCGAAGACACATGCTGTACAGGATTTTCATGGATCAAACTGCATTTATTTTGACTCTGCACATGAGCTGCAGTGAAGTGTTAGTAAGGTGGCATAGTTTCAAAAAATTATAAAAAATTTATTCTGAATTTTTTTGCCTGACATAACATCTTTCTACAGTAAGCACAGTTTCAAAAGACTTCAAATATTTTAAAGATTGTATTTTATCCCAAAATTATATATAAAAAAAGATACTAGGTGAGTTCTTTAATTCACCTATAAGGTTTATGATGTTTGGAATGAAACTGGATAGCTTTAGATAATCACTGACTCCATTTGACAGTCTGTTGTGTTAAGAAGGAGGGCAGAATGAGCCTCACTGTTTTTCTCCAGCAGCCATGTTGAACTTGGCAACACCCTGATCGGACTTCACTGAATCTTTTCCACAGGAGGAAATGAGAAATGAATGAGTGGTAAATTATGCTGTAATCTTACAAACCTTACAAGATTTTCTTAAGTTCATACACAATAAGAAAGTTGGATGAATTAAGCTAACATTAGCATTTTATCATATAGCTTGTGCTAGTTTTTTGGGGGGACCAACACTTTTGACCAAAGTGTTGGTCAGAAGTAATTGTATTACCTAAATTCAACTCTAAATAGACATTGTAAAGTGTTGTTTTTTCATTTTAAACTGTTAATTCGAATGAATAATTTAGGTTGACTGAACTCATTTATAAGGTTTTTCCAGTAATAATGATTACATTCTCCCAGCAATTTTTAAAGACCTACTTTTAGGAGACTGTAAGTGTCCAGAATCAGGTTGAAAACATCGCATCCAAAGACAGACAGTCACTGATTGGCAAACGGGTGGAGTCACTGGTTGCATCACAAGAGCAACTCTACAGTAATCCAACCCACCATTTGTAAAATCTCAACAGAGAGTTAGTGTATTTGGAGATTCAAGGACAAAGTCAGCCTGAGCACTATGTAAACATACCATGTCCACCATTGTTGTTTTCTGGGAAAGTGATGTGGTCAATATAAAATGCAACATGTTCTTGTCAGAAGAGGGGATTGTGATGAAAGTGTATTATTTTGTAAAGAAATCATAATATATTTGAAAATAATCATACAGATTATGTTGCACTACTTTTCATTTCCTGGAACCACCCAACTATATGACGACCCCACCAAATAGAGCTCTCACTAATTTGTACCGGAAAACCGTGATGTGTGTAGAGATACTTCGAGTCGGCTCAAGCTGTGCTGCTAGGTGCTAATGTAAAAGGGCCATTTGACAGCTTTAATGTTGCTTTTAAGGGTTCTAGGCAATGTCCATAAACCATTGGTTTTGTTTCATCAACTAAAGGCCTGGTTCACTTATTCAAAATTGGGATGTTCTTCAGCCTTTAGTTTGAGAAAACATAGGACTGAAGAGCTAAAGTTACCAGCTATACTCCCAACTCTGTTTGGTTCTTTCTATAAATGTCAACTTTTTTTTTTTTTTTGGTTGAATCTTCTTTGAAATTTTATATTCAATAATTTGTATGATGGAGCTTTCCAAATATTTTTGTTTCACTTTTTATTTTTTCAATCTTTTGTCTTTCGTCCTTCATGTATGTCAGTGGGGAAATAGATCTAGTTATATTAACAGGATTTTGAAGCTATGTTTTTGTTATACTAATTTAGATCTGCTGCTCTCCTTGAAATATTAAATCAATGTAACATACCAATAACACCATCTGTTCAATTGGTAAAACTTCCAGGGTTGAAGCAGAGCTGGTGCATGTCAACGACTAGTGGGTTCTACACCGACAGGTCACCCTTTCATCAATGAGGAAACATTGAGAAATACAAGACTAATACCCAGGTGTAGCTTTCAGTTTGCAATTAACCTAGCAAATATGTTTTTGGACTCTCAAAGAAGAATAGTGTCCTTAAAGAAAAACAACT